GAGAGAGAGAGAGAGGAATAGCTGTACTAAATATCAAGCAACAACAACAACAACAAAATAGAGAGAGAAAAGGTATAAAAACAAAATAAGAGAAGGAAAAACGCCCGAAAATATGCAAATAATGGCAGAGAGGACAATTATTGCCCATGACACACGCAAACACACACATGAGGAGACACATGTAGTTTAAATACTATTCATGATAGTCGAAGATGGTTCCCAGAGAGAAGCTTCTGATAATTGATCAAGGCAGGCTGATATTGGGACATTGCTTATCGATTTGCTCAATGACCATTTTGAAGGCCCGCTGAACATTGACACCAGGAAGCGGCTTATTTTCCTCATCCTGTGCAACCAACAACTGAGTTGAGTCCTCGAAGAGGCAACCACTCAGGGGCATTCCTAGAACAGGAATAACCGTATTCAAAGGCAGCTTTCTACCACATAGAATGCTCGTTTCATAGGCCCACAGCTTTGCAACATTTCTTAAGGTGTAACCGCCTCCTCCCAAGACTAGCATTGGTAAACCAAGCTTTTTGACTTCTTCAACACATTTTCCATGCCCCCAAGATGACAGGTTAAAGTGTCCAAGACGATCCCCAGCCAACGAATCGGCACCACACTGTAAAACAACAACGTCGGGTAGATATCGTTTGACAATTGACGACAACGCACGTTCAAAAATTGTTGTGTAGAAGAAATCATCTATGCCATCCCACAAAGCCAAATTCATAGTGCAATGGCGTCCTTTTCCAAAACCTATGTCACGTGGGTGTCCTGTACCAGGAAAAAAAGATTCACCAAATTTATGAAGAGAGAGCGTAAACACTCTATTGCTTTGGCAAAAGGCTTCATCAACACCATCTCCGTGATGCATATCAAGATCCACATACAAAACTCTTTTGTGACACTTAAGTAGCTCAAGAATAGCAAGAACTATGTCGTTTACATAGCAAAATCCAGAGCATTCTCCACATTTTGCGTGATGCATACCTCCACCCCAGTGAATAACAATATCCGCCTTTCCGCTGTTCAAGAGTATGGCTGCCATAAGTGAACCACTTGCAATAGAAAGTGAATGTTCTAGTATCCCTTCCACCGGAGGACAATCCCCTGAAAAAGTCACCTTTGAGACTTCCGTATTCCATAGCCAGCTTTGGCTACTATGAAGGCCAAGATTTGAAATATAATCCGCTGCATGATATGAGAGTAGCTGCTCAATTCCAATAAGAGGCGGTACAACGGTTCGACAATGACGTTCAAGCCCTAAAGTTTTAATAAGCTCCATTGCAACCAATAGCCGATAGGGTTTCATGGCATGTTGTGGCACCAAGGCAGATAAACAACAATCTGCAGAGTAGCAGGATGTGTCAATTAAAGCCACTGGGTGATTGCCCTCCGCAAACGCCATGGGGTAATACAGAAAATAACGAAGGACCCTACACATAGGACAAAAAAAAAGAAAAAGATGTAAGATGTATGAAACAGAGAAAACGCGGGGACCCTCCAACCACAATCAAAAAAAAAAGAAGAAAAAAAAAACGAAGGCCAGCGGCAACAGAAGCAGAAATAACTCCGCAGAGCCGGGGGAGCCGCACCCCGCCCCTCGGCGTCGGACACGCCACGGCCGCCGGCCAAGCCTCGCGCGTCCCGCTGCCGCGTCCCGTCGCCGCCTTCGGCGCCCCGTTCCTCGGTCGGCGTGGGCGCGGTTCCCCCCGGCACCGGCACGGCCGCGCTCTGTCGCTTGCTGTTGTTGTTTTTTTTTTGGGAACTTTCTCCGAAGGATTTGTTGGCGTCCGTCACTTGCCACTTGGCATTTGTTGCTTTTTTTTGTGTCATTTTTGTTCAACTGGGTCGTTCCTTCTTCCTATTGCGATTTTTGAAATTTCAATTCATTAGGAGTGATGTTTCGTCGAAAAGTTGCTTCTTCCTGCATTCTTGCGTCTCGGGTGTTCCTGAACGCTAGGCGTTCAGTATCGCTCGAAGACCCCGCCGAAAGAGAAAGAGAGCGGGAACTAAGAGCAAGGATTGTTGCGCGATATCGTGGAGTGAGTTTGCCGGAACTAAGCAATATACGCTACGGACATTTTGCAGAACAAGAGGGTGCGACCCAATCCACGGCTTCGCAGGCCTATAATGCAGTGAGTCAGAGCTATCCGTTTGGGCAGAATAACTCAAACGGAGCGCGGGGCGTGGACTGGTTGATGCTTTTTACAGGGTTGGCACTGTTTTATGTGTCGTCTAAAATGCTATTTCAGCGCTTCTCAGGTTTTTCAGTGGATGCCGCAATTGTGCCCTTGTGGGCCGCAAGCCCTGAAACGCAAGCCAAATATTTGATATATTCTATACAATTTGACGCCCGGGCCCGTGAACAAATTCAGAAGGCATATCATAGCGTTCGTCAATCCTATCCGTTTACGGATTTCTTTCAGTGGTTGCGGGTCCAATATCCTGAATATGGACAGGGTATCGCTTTCAGCTATGAGTCCGCAGTTAACTCGCTGGTTGCCATTTTTTCTAGTGGTGATCCTCGGGCGCTCATGCAACTGGGTCGTGGGGTCCAAAAAGCTATTAAAAAGCAAAATACAAACTCGGCACAACGACTTGATGATTTCTTGATGGATGTGGGTGCTTTGGCTACCGTACAAGCTCCAGTCCGACATTCCATGGCTTCTGGATACGCGGTTCCGCAGCCACCTCCGCAGCCTTTGCAGTTACATGGGGGCGAACCCATGTCAATACAAGGTGCGCTTGAGTCTGCTCCCGGTGAGGCGCACAGCTCGGTTCCTTTTCAGTAGACGGATTGTATTAATTTTTAGTTTTTTTTTTTCTCTGTCTCTGAGATCTTCCCTTAGTTGGGCTTTGTTTGTTGAATTACCCCGTTCTATGAGAACAATAACTAAGTGTTTTTGTTCTCTGCCTGTTTCTTTCTCAGCTCTTCACTGTTATTTTTTGCGATGCACTCTCTTTTGTTATTCTGCGCGGGCTTTTTCTACTTCTGCTTTCGCATATTGGTCAACTATGGCAAGATAGGCCTTGGTATTTATCAGTTTCAAAAAGGAGAATAGTAATAAAATAGACAGTTGAACAATACAAAAGAGGAAAAAAAAAAGAGATGAAGTCGGGGCAGTTAGCAAAGCCTATTACACACGATCAGGTCGCTGAGCTTCATGAACTCTTTCGCCACTTCGATGGGGCCGGGGAGGGTGTCCTTGAAATGTCCAGGATTAAAGAATTTTTTTTTCAAATGGGACCGGAATTCGCAGAGGAGGTATTTGTGCCTGTGGTCTTGGACGCAAATCTCGATAAGGTGGAGGAGATAACCTTTGCACAGTTTTTTTTAATTTTCTTGAACATATCCGGAAGAATGCCTAGTAATGGGAATTATGAACTTGAACAGTTAAAAGAGGTTTTTGCTGCATTTGACCCTGAGTGCACGGGGTATATTGAGGTGAATCGTTTCATGCAAATCATGCTGGAGGAAGGGAAGCCGATCTCTTCCTTCGAGGGAAAGGAACTTTTATTACAGCTCCGGTACTTTGGGTGTATGCGCAAAGGAAAAGTGAATTATGGTAAATTCTTATCTAGAATTTTCGTGTCGGGCACGTCTAATACATTGTTTGCTGCCACTTGAGTTGGATGTATTTGAGTTTATTAGCTACGCACCTCCTTTCATATTATACTAATTTTGAACCCCCCTTCACACACACACACAAATCATATATCTTTTTATTATGTCGGTTTACTAAATGTAATATGTTATTCTGGGTTGTGAATGTCTTTTTTTTAATGTGAAATTTTGAGAGGTTGCTGTGGTGGGATGCTTTTCAGCTTTTTTTTTCATGCATACATTCTGGGGATAGGAGAGGGCATATAAAAAGCTATTTATCCTGTTTTTTCTATTGCAAATACACTTGTAAGTATCTTTATTCCGTTTTTTCTTATTCCTTATAGGAAGTTTTCACTACATATATTGAGGACACAACCTAGAAAGGAAGCAGAAATGATTCACACTGTGGTTGGACGTTTTAAGGAAAGGCTTGGAGCTATGCGGATGACAAAGCAGGAAGTGCTAACTGCAGCGCTTCTCGTATTCCTGCTGTATGCTTCATCGGTAATGATGTTTTTTGGCATGAACTTCTGGCTTTGGTCCTTTAAAAAAGGACTTAAGCGAAGTTATGCCAGCATCCTTATTCCATCTGTGGGATGGGCTTTGTTGTTTTTTGCTTCCTCAGTTATGATTCGTATAATAAATTGGATGATTGGACGCTCTGAGAATTTATTTTTTGGTGGGGTCGGAGGGGCGTTGCTCTTCTTGTTATAATCGGCCTATTTGATTCACTAACCGGACTTTGTTGTATGTACGCTGTGGTGCATGTTCCAGTCATACTTCAATCCGCTCTTATCTCAACCGGCCCTATTTGGACTTACTTGCTCGCACTTTTTTTTTATCCAGAGAGTCAGTCAGCATTTTCCCCTATATTTTTACTGGTTATTGCTTGCACAGCTGGTGGAGTGGCTCTTGCAGTGATACCACAAGCTGAAAGCCATCGTAAAAATGAATATTTTAGTCCGCCCTGGATTTTAATATTTCTTTTGGGGACAATATTGTATCCATTTTACAATGTTCTTCAAGGTCGGTTTTTGAACGAATTTCGGGGAGGCTGCTCACCATTTACGACTAAAGTAGTCATGCTAACATGCGAAACATCCGTACAGCTCGTTTTTACACTGACGTATTTTCCACTCGATGCTGCTCCTTTTTTTGGAAAGTGCGCTTCTTTACAGGAATCTTGGGATATGCTTATGGCCAGTCTAAGGTGTGTAGCTGAATGCCCCAATAATGCTATTTATATGACTGTTTATGTTCTGGGATTCTGGATTCGCCATGCCGTATTTGCGTACATGAATGGATATTCTCCAGTTGTGGCAGCGGTAACCAGTCAGATGACGCAGCCACTCAACACATTTATTTTATTGATCATCCCATCCTGGAATGTATTTGGCGCAAAGGCCCTTTGGTATTACACACTTGGCTGCTTTTTACTTTTACTCACATCAACTGTCATTTTTGTCGTGTGGCATTTGTTGAATCGCCCAGTTCATCAGGAGGAATTGGGGATGGCTTCATTTACTGTGCTTGAGAATGCAGAGGATAATAGTGATGAAAAGGAGTGAAGTTTATGAATTCTGAAAGTTAGGCAGGAGAAAAAGGATAACATTCGCCCAAGAAAAACAAAGACAAGGAGAAAAAGAAAAGAGAAACTGTACAATTTATAAAGGCACCCAACCCGTAAAAAAAAACAAGAATCAAAACACGCACAATGACACACATGAACAAAAAGAAACAAATAACGACGACAGGTACTGAGGTGCGTAGAGAGGAACAGACTTGTGTGGATGAGCAACTGTGAGGTAAAAAAGCAAGTAAGCAAACATGGTCATCTATTACCAATACTTCCAATGAAGTATGAACCGACTGCTTACTTAAGGGGAAAAAATAAAGGGTTACATACCCGCATAGTTTGGAGGGCTCTTTTGCTTTTGTTTTACAAGTTTGACACACACGCGTAGTGTTACTAATAGAGGCTTGTGAAACGAACGTGTCATCAGATGAGGCTAAACAAATGACAGATGCTCTTTGTTAATTACCCCGTTTTTTTTTGTCGCTTGACCCTTGTTTCTACTAATACCATGCCGGAGTGTAACTTGTGGAGTTCTTTTTTAACCCTTCCCACCCTAACCCCTCACCAGTGCTAAAATCGTTTAGTTGTAGGGGTCTGGCGGTCGCGGTGCCCTCCCCCCCCAAAGATTGCCATGTCATGTGTTTTTACTTTTAACGGTCCCAGTCGGCATGACATGTTTTTGTTTTTGTTTTGGATTTACTTTTTGTGTGGCTGAGAATGCGTGAGTGCGGCTTGGATCTCATTCGAATGGGGGTTTTGATTGCACCCCGAAACAAACTGTAATCTTCCACGGTCATAATTGTATTTTTTTTGTTTTCTTCGTAGGAATAGGGGAAAAGGCTTCATCCAGGCGCATATTCTAGGTATTAAAATGCCTCCCAAAAATCGACAGGAAGAGGAGCGGTCAAAACTGACTCGTATTGCGGTTGTTAATGCTGACAGATGCAAGCCCTCGAAATGCAGTTTTGAGTGTAGCAAGTGTTGTCCGGTTAATCTTCAAGGCAAGCTGTGTATTGAGGTACAGAGAAAGTCTGTGATTTCAAAGATTTCAGAGGAATTGTGCATTGGCTGTGGATTGTGTGTGAAAAAGTGTCCTTATGGTGCCATTCACATCATTAACTTGCCATCAAATCTTGAAAAGGACACTGTTCATCGATATGGTCCCAATAGCTTTAAACTCCATCGTCTGCCTCTTCCTCGCCCAGGACAAGTCCTGGGGCTTGTTGGAGCAAATGGAACAGGTAAGTCGACGGCGTTGTCTATTCTAAAAGGGAAAATTAAACCCAACCTTGGTCGCTATCGTAATGAGCCGAGTTGGGAAGATATACTTCGTTACTTTCGTGGTTCGGAGCATCAAGCATATTTTCAGCACATGTTGGAAGATAAATTACGTGTTCTTTTAAAACCGCAGTACGTGGATCAAGTTCCCAAGGCCACGAAAGGTTTGGTAGGAGAACTCCTCGCAAAGTCGGACCAGCGCGGTATGAAGGAACACTTCATGAAGCTGCTTGATCTCGAGAATGTTGCGGATCGTGGACTTGATAAACTTTCTGGTGGCGAGCTACAACGTTTTACTATTGCCGCTTTATGTGTGCAAAGTGCCGCGGTTTACATGTTTGATGAACCTTCTAGTTACTTGGATGTGCGTCAGCGCCTGACTGCCGCTCGAGTTATACGCTCCCTATTAAAGGAGGATAACTACGTGATTGTTGTGGAGCATGATCTTTCCGCTGTTGATTACATGTCTGATTTTGTTTGCGTCTTGTACGGTGTTCCCGGCATTTACGGTGTGGTGACAATGCCCTACGGTGTTCGGGAGGGCATTAATGTTTTTCTCGACGGCTTTGTTCCAACGGAAAATCTGCGCTTCCGTGAGGAGGGTCTCACCTTCCGCATTGTCGACGACTTTGATGAGATCACGAAGCGCAGCGCCCAAAACAGCTACCCCGCGATGACGAAAAATCTAGGAGCCTTTAGCCTGACCGTGGAGCCTGGAACATTCTCTGATTCCGAGATTATTGTGCTACTTGGAGAAAACGGTTGCGGCAAAACCACCTTTATTCGCATGTTGGCCGGACATCAAAAGCCAGACAACGACGCGGAGGTGCCGCAGCTTTCAATCAGCTATAAACCGCAAAAGATTGCACCCAAGTTCCAAGGTACCGTAAAGGATCTCTTGCAGACGAAGATCTACGACGCCTTCAGTCACCCGCAGTTTCAGACGGACGTCCTGAAACCCCTGACCATTGAGGAGCTGCTGGACCAGGAGGTGCAAAACCTCTCCGGGGGCCAGCTTCAACGGGTTGGGTTGTGTATTGCGCTGGGAACACCGGCAAACATATACTTGATTGACGAGCCAAGTGCCTACCTGGATTCGGATCAGCGTATCATCGCCGCCCGTGTGATCAAGCGGTTTATCATGCACACCAAACGCACAGCCTTCATCGTAGAGCATGACTTTATTATGGCAACCTATTTGGCAGATCGCGTGATTGTCTACGAGGGGACGCCGGCGCTGAACTGCAAGGCCTGCACCCCCTGCGGCCTCTTGGAGGGCATGAATAAGTTTTTGAAGAGCCTTGACATTACCTTCCGCCGCGACCCCACCAATTTCCGCCCGCGCATCAACAAGCTGGACTCCGTGAAGGACCGGGAGCAGAAAAGCGCCGGAAACTACTTCTACATGATGGACACGCATGACGCGGCGAACAATCTTCCGCACAAGCCCGGACAGGAGCACAGCGAGGATGACGACGACGAGGAGGAGGCGGCGGCGGCGGCGGCGTCCAAGAAGAAGCAGAAGAAGGGGAGACACTGAGGCCGGCTTGCCACGCGGCGAACGCAGGGGAGTAAGTAAAGGGGAGGAACGCAGGCAACGGCGACAACCGCGGTGTGACGGAGAAGCGAAGAAAATAAACTAAAAGAAAAGAAGGGAGGGAAGAGACAATTGCGGTGACAGCTAAGAACGACATACACAGCTGGACAGGGCAGAGGAGTCGCAACAAAGAAACAAACAAGCAAGATTGTATGCAACGGGAATAACTAAGAAAGCGAGACAAAGGAAAGGCGGAGGAAAAAGGAAAGGAAAAGAATAGAAAAGCAGACGGCCCCAAAGCTCCCAACGCATGCGTCTCGCCCCACAACATGATCGCGACAAATAAAACTTAACTCACCTTAATGGGGAATAATTGCACGGTAATGCGCCACGCGGCTGCTTGAAGGGTTTCCACTGGTTACGTGAGACCCCCTGCGTGGCACTGTCTTCTCTAAAGG